CCATCATATATTCTTGTGGATGATTTGCTTGCGAACAAGAAGATAATTAAATTATTCAGTATGTCCGTTTGTTTTCATTCATGTACAGTTCACAGTTCCATGCCATCCTTCTAACCGAAACACCCGTGGGATTTCTCTGCAGGATGTAAGAGGAAATGATGTTGAGCTCAGCAGATACAAGGGGAAAGTCCTGCTTATTGTGAATGTCGCATCTCGATGGTAGCGTGTTTTGCAGTTTTAGTTTGAAATCCTCCTGTTTGAATCTGTGTTTACACCACCTGAGTTGATATCCCTGCAGTGGTCTGGCCAATTCCAACTACACGGAACTGGGTCAGCTCTATGAGAAATACAGGGAGAAAGGTACCTACTTTTCTATAGCTTTGCACATGTCATTCCACTATAGCAGTAGCTCTATCTAATGCATTATATTCACCCCAGCCTTATTTAGTAGTTTAGCAGATTCTAATTTGGTACGTTGTACGGTTCTTAACCATGTTTTTTGTTCATTTGCTATTTGTATTAAAACTGAACACGATATATGATATAAATGCTTTGTACTTAAATGGTATGGTTATATCTTGTTGTGGGGAATGATTAAAACTCTTCGATGCATCACTTTTGTACATCGCGGGGAATGTTCCATTTTTTTAGAGAAAAATCCATTGTCTTTGCCTTCACTAGAGAGTAGAAACTCATAAGAAATGCAATCCAATCAGCACAACAGATGTGGCATCTGAGTGGTTTCTCGGTCATAATGTGTGCATACAGAATACACTTCACCTGCTTACTAAAGCAGCAGCAGAACTTACCTGTAGCTTGCCTAGCTGGTCAAGAGCATGGCTTCTCAGGTATAGGCTTATACTATGACTGAATGTGTTTTGAAGTCATATTGCTTTTACAAGACTACAGTGGTGTCAAAAAGTCCTAGAAGTGGGACCTGATCAACAGTTTGCTTCCCATCAAACAGATATTACAGAAGCTATGCTATGTTTGGATCCAACTATTCAAGTTGAGTTAGTTTTCAGATTTGAGATTGGAACCAACCTTGGGCTAAATAATGATAGAAGACCTTAAAAAAAATGATAGAAGAGAAATCTACAGTTTATGTTAGGCTGCAAGTCTTTAGTATGATGAGTTATAAATAAATAGTAAGACAAGATGTGCCATTGTGCAGGTCAAATAACTTGCATTTTATACTTCGTCTTCAATCTTCATTTATCGTTGCGTGTTTTCTGCTGCAATTAGGATTGGAGATATTGGCGTTCCCCTGCAATCAATTTGCTGGACAGGAACCAGATAGCGATGAGAAGATTGTGGAGTTTGCTTGCAATCGCTTCCAAGCAGAGTTTCCTATTTTTCGCAAGGTCTATTCCAGCGAAAATCTTTGTTTCCATTTCTGTGTGCGTGCTAGCTTCCAAACACAAATGCACTTATTTTTTATCTAAACATTTCTGAGTTGACAACAGGTTGACGTGAACGGCAACAATGCTGCCCCACTGTACAAGTTCTTGAAGTCAGAGAGGGGCGGTCTATTTGGAGAACGTATCAAGTGGAACTTCACCAAGTTTCTAGTTGACAAAGAGGGGCACGTCATGAACCGATATGCACCGACCTGGTCCCCACTCGGCATTGAGGTGATGCTCTAACTCAACAGTTTATTTTCTGTATTCCTCGTCTCCAACAGAACGGTAATTCACTTGGTGAATGTTGTTTCCGCAGAATGACATCAAGAAGCTGTTGGAGGTTTGAGGTATATCTCCAGGGAAGATCATGCGTCGGCGTGTCATGTGTATGTGTCATCTGTTCTTTCTGCTACTGTATGTGTATGTACACTTGCTCTATCAAGAGTAACTCCAGTCTGTTGTATGCTACTCTGTTTTCTACACGGTGAAAGGAAATAACATTTCGCTGAAATATAAACAAAATTATATCGATGCAACAAAACACAGCCTGGAGAGTAATCTATAAGAATGATCTCAAAAACCGAATGGGCTATTCCAAAGTATACATTTGGTATTCTTTTTGGGAACAGAAAAATCTCTCAAGAGATGGAAGTGTCGACAAATATGAGCTATCCTCTAGAAGAGTTGATATCAATGTTGGAACTTCGTGTGTCAAATATCCCAGAGCTAGGCCACCCTCCCGTCGATACAACGGAGGGCGGCGACGTTAGGTTTTGGTTATGTCCTGAGCTGGGCGACACCACATCTGGCCCAGCGCCGGTGAGCGAGTCGGGACCGAAAGCCGGTGGTTTCGCGGCTTTCTTGGACTTTGATTTGGATCCTCCTTGCACAAAAGTCCCTAGCACCACCTGCACAATGCCAAACAGGATTAGAAACTTTTATGTTGTATGTCTGAATCTTAGCAAATGAGGTTGATCTGGATGCAGGAGCTTGGTTCCATGTCTGAATCTTAGCAGATGAGGCTGATCTAGTAGATTGCTGTTACCTGCACAGTACTGGCAGCCACCAATGCTCCACCCAGGACACCTCCAATGACATGCCTCTCCGGGCTGCAGAGCGTGACGCTGATCCCGTCGGTTTGATTTTGCTGGCCCTCGTTCAGATTGTAAGAGCCGGATAAACTCAGGATTTCATACAATCCCTACAAACATTCACATCATGCAGGGTTACTTATAAGTCTCAGGTGCATCACTCCTTTGATATGCATATAGGATGGTCGCTTACCTCGTAAATGGCAGGGTTATTGTAGGAAGGAGGATGATCTGCCGGGTGGCGCAGGACGGCCCTGGAGACGGACCCCATCGCTGAGAGCACGCACACCGCCCTCGGTGACTGGCTCGCGAATGCCGCGATCTTCCCCGCGACGTCCTGTCAAGGCAATTGATATGATTCTGTCTGTCAGTTCATCAGGTGCAGCAGGGTAACAGAGGAATAGAATAGAATTTAGGTGGCATTGTCCCAGTTTTGCATTGCGTGCATACCTCTGAAGGAGATGCTGTGATGATGTGGGGAGTAAAGCTCGTTCCAGCTGAACCAGGGAACGCATTGCCTGGACAAAATAACAATTTTCAGCAACATAGATGATGATCAGGAGACCCCAGAAAAGGAAGATAACCATCAGGAATTAATTTTATTCGTTGTGGTTTCAGTGAACTGCAGACTATGCTGTGACAGTTGAAGCTTTTTTTTGCTATGTCTCCAGCCCAAATCAGACTTCAGAGTGTGCATACAAACTACTCCCTCCGTCCGGAATTACTTGTCGCGGAAATGGATCAAAATGGATGTATTTAAAACTAAAATACGAACAAATGATTTCTAAGATGGCAGCAACTGATAAGCAAATTAGGCTAATGACACTGTTAAAATCATCAAAAATCAACATTCCTTTGCTACAGCAGGTACTGCACAGTACAGATGTTCTGTTGACAATTGGCAGGCAGTAGATTGGAATTTGATAGAAATCTGAATTAATCACCTTAAGTAGGACAGTGCATATATAAAATACAGACTTTACAAGAAATAAATAAAATTCAGAATTGGGTGTATATATGTACCGACCGGAGGGTTTACTGCTGGGTGAGGAGAGCTTCTTCCCGGTGCCTGGCGGTCGGCCGCGCTTCTTCTTCTGGGCCGCGTCGTCGAGCCCGCCCGCCATGCCCTGCCCGGCCATCGACCCCATCCTCTGCTGAGGCGCGCCCATCATCTGATGTTGCTGCTGCTGATGATGCGCCGACGAGGAAGACGAGGACATGTGGTGCTTCATGGCGCCGTCGGGCCCGTACTTGCGCGGCCTGCCCCGCTTCCGCTTGACGGGCTCCGGCGGCGGGCTGGCCACCGGCATCGTCGTGCCCGAGCCAGAAACAGAGCCGCCCATGTTGCCGGCGTGCTGCAACATGGAGGAAGGGGACGTGGTGTTGTCCATGTTGAACTGCATGCCGGCGAGGGAGGAGGCGCCGCCGCCGATGGACTGGAGGATGGCGGTGGGGCTCATGCTCATGTTGGGCATGGGGCGGATGACGGAGTGCATCCCGGCGAGCGAGGAGGGGCTATGCTGCCCCCCGCCGCCGCCGGTGCCGCCGAGCATGCGGAGGTGCTGCTGCTGCTGCTGCTGCTGGCCATAGAATGGCGGCAGGTCGGACGGTGAGATGAGGTCTTTGCCATCCATGCATGGATCACTGCTTTCTTCCTCCTCCAAAAGCGCAGCCAGCTGCCCTCGCCCTGATCATGCACGAACACGATCGACCACCTCCCGCCGAGCGCCAAGCGAAGCTCCCTGGCTCCTCCTCCGGCGCGGACAGGCGGCGCCGGCACCACCGGAGAAAGAAGGGATGAGGAGGAGATGGGATGCGCCACCGGACGAGCAGCTGGATAGATCAGGAGGAGGAGGAGGAGGAGGAGGAGGAGGCAATGATGGGAGGGAGATAAGATGACGCGGTTGGCCTACATGCACGCGCAAGCGGGCAAGTAGCCGCTTGGATGTGTTTGTCAGCCAGGATGGAGGATGGAGGATGGAGGATGGGCACAGCACCACCGATGGATCCATCACCGATGGATGGATGGATGGAACGGCGGCCACCGCGCCCCCGCCCCACACAGACAGATAGATAGGCGAGACGAGGCGACACACCCGTCCCGGCGGTACCGATAAGATTTCGGTTCCGTTCCTTTCGCCCAACGAAAAGGCCGCCCGTTGCCGCCATAGCTTTCGTCGGGCGCGCGGCATCATCCATCCATCCATCCATCCATCCATCCGCTGGCCTAGCGCGGGGTGGGGTGGGGTGGCATGTCGCTACCCGCCCGCTCCATCCCAGCCCCCATTCTACAGTAGTCCGTGGAATAGCCCCGGCCCCGCCTGTCATCTGCCAAGCAACTTGCTCTGTGCTCCTCGAGAAGATATTTTTCGCCCTTGTTCTTTCTGTCACAAGTAACAGTGCGCCGGAAGGCGACGCTCCCCTTCGTCGATCGCACCGCCTTGTTTCGCACAATTACAAAATAATAATAAAGAATATACATACTGGAATGTTTACAAAGTCCAACTTACCTAAACGCTCTTATGTTTTTTTACTGAGGGAGTGTCTTAAGTGTTCAAAGGCATGGGACTAAACATAAATCAAGGTAGAGGAGAACCGCTCCGAAGACTAGACGGCCACACATGCATGCCATGCCATGTGATCAACCAGATTTTCGAACATGAATCTAGTATCACCTTGTCATTCTAAATCACAATCAGTCATTGACGATTAGATGGTGATGAACTCTTACAGAGAATGATCGCGCTAACACCCCTCCCCCTCCCCCTTGTTGCGTCCATGCCTCCATGGTGGATTTGGAAGGAGGAGGTGCCGAGGTGGTGTTGCATGGTCCTCTTACTCTTGGGCCCGCATGACCATCCACCTAATGGGCTTCTTTCTCATGGGTCTTGACGCTTTCTTTTTCCCTTTTATTTAGGTACGTCTTCTTTGATTTGTTGACCATGGCTAGTTTCTTAGACTTTCGGTGACTTGATTTGGCTTTGACAGTTTGCCATGTAGATTCCATGTAGGACTAAGCAGTATCTCATAGGTAGGATAGTTATTCTTGCAGTATCAATGTTCATTTGATCGAGACTGGTAGCGTTTGACCGGTTAATTTTTTTATGGGTGTAAGTAGCAAAACAACCGTTTAGACCAAGCAAAAGCAACAATACAAGCATTTTTTTGCTGTTTTTCAAAAAAAAAAAGAAGCATATGGGCCCCTAATTTACACTCATGATACATCAAGATAATCGAGAATTGCAAGGTGTGAGTTCCATCAAAAATCATCTCCCCCTTGTGTTAGGTCAATAACAACAAAGGTGGTGGAGTAGCTTCTTTCACACCACTAATTTCTAGTCGTTCAAGTCCCAACGAAATGAAACTTCTAGCGGGGAATTATAGAACATTTGTTTCGTGCAATATTGAACATGTTGTTGAATTAATTGGTTATGAGAGGTGCATTTCCTAGCAAGCTAAACTCCCATTATTTTTAGAGTGTTGTCTTTGATATTTTTTTCTTGCTGTTGCAAGGAGTATTTGAACTTGACTCCCTCTTTCCTTTAGCTATCATACATGCCTTGCCTAGATTGGGCGGTCACAACACCTTTTGGGATTCTCGTTCGGGTCATCTACCAAAAAGTTCCAGTTATAAATTTGAAATATGGTGGCTATTGAGAGAGGACTTTAGAACTGTAGTTACCAATGCCTGGAACAAACCTGTGAGTGGTAGACCTTCTAATCAACATCTGGAAAAGTAAATTTAGGAATCTTAGAAAATCCGTTAAAGGTTGGAGTTCCAACATAGAGGCTGAACTTAGAAACCTCAAGAAGGATATGATGTTGGAGTATGATAGTCTTGACATCAAAGTTGAAACTATTGCGCTCTCTCCCGATGAGTTGGATAGAATGAAACGGATTAAGTTAGAGATGAACAAAATTTGGTTAAAAGAAGAAACTAAGGTTAGATAAAGATCTAGAGATAGGGATATCAAGGAGGGTGATAAGAATACTACTTATTTCCATGCACTAGATAACCATAGGAGTAAGATGCTGGTTCATACCCTCTAAGGCCCTGATGGTCCTGTTACTAAAACTAACGACATGCTTTATGTAGCATTATACTACTACAAAAAGTTATGTAGTAAAGAAGGTAGAATATGTTTCTTATCAGCTAATGAGCTTTTCTAGGATACTGACCTCCTAACTAATTACGAGAATAGGATGCTTGATGTTCCTTTTTTTGAAGAAGAGGTTAAGAGGTCTTTGAGTCATATGTTGATGGGGCCAGGTCTAATGGGATTCCCTTCCTTTTCTACCATCACTTTAGGGATTTAGTTAAGTCTTACTTAATGGCCTTGTTCAAAGATTTTTCTGAGAGAACACTAGATATCTAACGATTTCGCCATGATTGCCATGATACCTAAAGAGCTATTGGCTACCACTATAGAAAAGGTGGGCCAATAAGTCTCCTTAACTATGTTTTTAAGACCTTCACCAAAGTTCTAATCATGGATAAGATAATTTCTAGTAAATCAACCAGCCTTTATCAAAGAGAGGTGCATCCTAGAAAGTGTTGTCACTTGTCATGAAGTAATCGATTCTTTGCTGTAATCTCAGGACAAAGGGGTAGTTCTTAAACTAGACTATGATAAGGCCTTTGATAGGTCAACCTTGATTTTTTTTCCTGAATTGCATGAGCTTAGGGGCTTTAGTTGTAGGCGGCTTAGTTGGATCTCAATAATTTGAAGGAAATATGCCCTAGAGGCAATAATAAAGTTATTATTTATTTCCTTATATCATGATAAATGTTTATTATTCATGCTAGAATTGTATTAACCGGAAACATAATACATGTGTGAATACATAGACAAACAGAGTGTCACTAGTATGCCTCTACTTGACTAGCTCATTAATCAAAGATGGTTATGTTTCCTAACCATGGACAAAGAGTTGTCATTTGATTAACGGGATCACATCATTAGTTGAATGATCTGATTGACATGACCCATTCCATTAGCTTAGCACCCGATCGTTTAGTATGTTGCTATTGCTTTCTTCATGACTTATACATGTTCCTATGACTATAAGATTATGCAATTCCTGTTTGCCGGAGGAACACTTTGTGTGCTACCAAACGTCACAACGTAACTGGGTGATTATAAAGGTGCTCTACAGGTGTCTCCAAAGGTACATGTTGGGTTGGCGTATTTCGAGATTAGGATTTGTCACTCCGATTGTCAGAGAGGTATCTCTAGGCCCTCTCGGTAATGCACATCACTGAAGCCTTGCAAGCATTGCAACTAATGAGTTAGTTGCGGGATGATGTATTATGGAACGAGTAAAGAGACTTGCCGGTAACGAGATTGAACTAGGTATGGGATACCGACGATCGAATCTCGGGCAAGTAACATACCGGTGACAAAGGGAACAATGTATGTTGTTATGCGGTCTGACCGATAAAAGATCTTCATAGAATATGTAGGAGCCAATATGAGCATCCAGGTTCCGCTATTGGTTATTGACCGGAGACGTGTCTCGGTCATGTCTACATTGTTCTCGAACCCGTAGGGTCCGCACGCTTAAGGTTATGATGACAGTTATATTATGAGTTTATGCATTTTGATGTACCGAAGTTTGTTCGGAGTCCCGGATGTGATCACGGACATGACGAGGAGTCTCGAAATGGTCGAGACATAAAGATTGATATATTGGAAGCCTATGTTTGGATATCGGAAGTGTTCCGGGTGAAATCGGGATTTTACCGGAGTACCGGGAGGTTACCGGAACCCCCCGGGAGGTATATGGGCCTTAGTGGGCCTTAGTGGAAGAGAGGAGAGGTGGCCAGAGATGGGCCGCGCGCCCCTCCCCCCTTGGTCCGAATAGGACAAGGATAGGGGGCCGGCCCCCCTTCCTCCTCTCTCTCTCCTCTTTCCCCCCTCCGCGAATCCTATTCCAACTAGGAAAGGGGGGGAGTCCTACTCCCGGAAGGAGTAGGACTCCTCCTGGCGCGCCCTATGATGGCCGGCCGGCCCCCTCCTTTGAGGCTTTATATACGGAGACAAGGGGCACCCCTAGAGACACAAGTTGATCCATGTGATCATATTCTTAGCCGTGTGCGGTGCCCCCTTCCACCATAGTCCTCGATAATATTGTAGCGGTGCTTAGGCGAAGCCCTGCGACAGTAGAACATCAAGATCGTCACCACGCTGTCGTGCTGACGGAACTCTTCCCCGACACTTTGCTGGATCGGAGTCCGGGGATCGTCATCGAGCTGAACGTGTGCTAGAACTTGGAGGTGCCGTAGTTTCGGTGCTTGATCGGTCGGGCCGTGGAGACGTACGACTACATCAACCAAGTTAACGCTTCCGCTGTCGATCTACAAGGGTACGTAGATCACACTCTCCCCCTCTCGTTGCTATGCATCACCATGATCTTGCGTGTGCGTAGGATTTTTTTTGAAATTACTACGAAACCCAACAGTGGTATCCGAGCCAGGTTTTATGTGTTGATGTTATATGCACGAGTAGAACACAAGTGAGTTGTGGGCGATATAAGTCATACTGCTTACCAGCATGTCATACTTTGGTTCGACGGTATTGTTGGACGAAGCGGCCCGGACCGACATTACGCGTACGCTTACGCGAGACCGGTT